TTTTTTTTTTTTTAGAGATGGAGTCTCACTTTAGTTCAGGCTGGTCTCAAACCTGTGAGCTGAGGCAGTTGCCCACCTCAGCCTCCCGAAGTGCTGGGATTACTGGTATGCACTACCACGCCTGGCCAGCAACGTTTTCTTAATAAACAAAATTTCCCCATACCCTTACCTCTTCGGATTCAAACAGTGTTTTGTGATTAGTTTGAGTAATCTGAATGTATGTGTGTATTTTAAGCTGTTAAAATGAGTTTTTGATCATCATATCAAAAATAATGCTAAAAAAGAATAATTATATGCAATATACTATAAATGGGGAGAGGGGAAAATATGAACTATGAATTTAAGAAGTTTACTGATTTTTAAAATTTTAATTTCTGAACTTCTTAAGAAATAGAATAATGTAGTATAGCTCCTGTTTCCTTGGTTTTAAGGAGGCGACAACTCCACTATTCCCATTGGATGGCTCAAGGTTGCAGCTGAATTTCTGTACAAGCAGGTAGAATATTGCAGCTGTCTTTTCAGTAGATGAGCAGCATCTTGTCTCCCAAAGAATCTCTTTACTTCCTCAATTTTTTCTTATTTCTTCAAAAGATAGTTATTATATATAGAGGGTGCCAACAAATGTATACACATTTTAAGAAAATAAAAAACAGCACTAAAATTATAATACTCAGGCTAGGCGCCTATAGCCCAAGTGACTAAGGCGCCAGCCACATACACCTGAGCTGGCAGGTTTGAATCCAGCCCGGGCCTGCCAAACAACAATGACAACTACAACCAAAAAATAGCCAGGTACTGTGGCAGGCACCTGTAGTCCCAGCTATTTGGGAGGCTGAGGCAAGAGAATTGCTTAAGCCTAGGAGTTGGAGGTTGCTGTGAGCTGTGATGCCACGGCACTCTACCCAGGGTGACAGCTTGAGGCTATGTCTCAAAAAAAAAAAATTGTAATACTCAATATATGCCAATAATGTTTGTTATCTTGTCTGTTGTATCTCTGATAATTGCAGACATCAAACATGACTTGAGTATTATTTCATTTTAGCCTTGCTTATTTGTTTATTTTCTTATCATTTCCCTTTTCTCTATCAATAATCTGTGTGTCTAGGCTCAGCTTGCCAATCGGAAACAGAAATTAGAGTCTGTGGAACTTTCTACTCAATCAGAAATTCAGCACCTGAGCAGTAAGTTGGAACGGGCCAATGACACTATCTGTGCCAATGAGTTAGAAATAGAGCGCCTTACCATAAGGATCAATGACTTGGTTGGAAGCAATATGACTATTCTGCAGGAGCAACGGCAAAAAGAAGAAAAGTTGAGGGACTCTGAAAAACTATTAGAGGTGTGTTTTAAAATTACTGTATTTTGGGGAAGTTTTGTGTGTGTGTGTGTGTGTTATTAGAAAGAATAATAAACCGAGAACTAGGTTCCAAAATCTATACTTTCTTCCTTACTCTGTAGTGGATGGATCAGATATTGATAACTTTGTTAATATTATGACTATAATGTAAGTTACAGTCCGACTCCCTGGCTTCCTTTACTCATGAAAAAGAAAAATTGCAGTAATATCTTTTTTTTTTTCTTATTTTAGAATTTCGTTGGTTGTAAAGGAAGAAAAGAGAGAATTGAAGGAAAATTGTACTACTATCTTTTTTACAGGCTCTGAAGGCAGAAAATAGAGAATTGAAGTCGACTCTTCAGTCTCAAGAAAACTTCATCCGTGAGGCAAGAATGGTAAAGGAGAAGCTGCAGGACAAATGGAAGGCACCTGACACTCAACCCATGGTAGAAGTCATAAGGTGTATTGAGTCTTAAGTACTGTTTGTCCCAGCCACTTGATGATTTAGCATTGAGCACCAGTTTCAGTATTGCATATTCATAATTTTATGTTCGATCACATTGTGGGTTTTCTTATTCAGTCCAATTTCTGAGTTGGGTTTTTAGACTGTTAAAAATTTTGTGTGGTTGGTTTTTTTCTGCCTCCAGTTTGGGTCCCTAACAGAAACTCTGATGTTTAGAATATTAGAAACTTATTGGTCACTTTGCACCCTGAAATAACAAATATTAAGGGAATCATAATTACGGAAATATAAACCAGCCTCCCTTTCCTGGTAGAATAGGTCATGGTTAGTAGCTGCTTATCATCCTTAACTACCCCTTTAAAAAACATTCCTAAAACTGATTTTATTTTTGTATACGAATTATTGCTGGCTCGGCGCCTGTGGCTCAAGTGGCTAAGGTGCCAACCACATACACCTAAAGTGGCGGGTTCAAATCCATCCCGAGCCCGTAAGACAACAGTGATGGCTGCAACCAAAAAATAGCCAGGCGTTGTGGCAGACGCCTGTGGTCCCAGCTACTTGGGAGGCAGAGGCAGG